AAATGAGATATTAATTTTTCATTACTGCAGTTGTCTTCCTCCGATACGAATTAGTTTTGTAAAAAAATGCCATTTTTGTTCTGGCTATTTAAAAACTGTTTAAACCACCCCCCCCCCACCACCCCCGCCCCACCCCTCCTCCCCGTTACCGCGTAAAGAAACCCTCACCATTTATATGCTACAGGCTGGGTGCTTATTTCTATCAGATGAATTTTGGATGACTGGAGTTGATGCCGGTTTTTCAGTGACAAATTAAATATTGCATTTGTAAAAAAGCATTATTTGTTTTGTTAAAATAACAATATGTTTATTGATTCTATCCACAGCAAAGGCCCATGACAAGGCAATGCAATTGCAACAAACGCTCCAGGTTACTGTAAACCCTCTTGTTGCTGAAGTAATACTTAATAACATTTCTGTAGCAACAGATTGTGGTAGAGCTTTGCAGAGTAGAATGCGCACCCACCACCAAAATCGTCACTTTTGTTTACGGTGTTTACAATTATTACTATCTTTAATATCATCAGCATTATTCACCTTTTTCTTATACTCCGGATCCGAGACATGCAAATCTGTCATTAGCGTTCTGCACATTGTCCTATCAAATATTGGTTCTTCTTCTTTCGTTCACCGAAAATAAGCTGTCGATATCAGCATTTTGTTTCTTGTATATACGTTTCTTTGTTGTTTTTAATTCATTCAGCGGTTCATAGAGTTTACGTTCCGCTGTTCTATCAGGCTAAAAAGTTTACCTTAAGGTGAAACTTTAGGTATAGTCTTGGGGTACATGTTCTGCGCTTCTGATACATATCTTCTTCTAGGATATGATTTCACACACCAGCCCTTTTCCAGTTGTCACAAAGTAGACATATTTTCCATTCTCGCAATGTATTTGAAGAATATAGATGGTCTGAGATTATGATAATTACCAACACAAATTGTTTATATGGATGTGAAATTTATCCCATTAACTTTAGTTATTTTACTTATGAATAGTCTCTTACTATCTGATTACTGGCGTGGTAAGCCACAGCACCCATCAAGTACCAACTGGTCTATAACAGCCAGAGTCTACTATCAAAGGCCCAATGTGACACGGGCATAGAAAGGGTCCTTTGACGCCTTTACTGTTTTTTACGTGATTATTATTTATCCCATAGCTGCATGTGAAGTCTGAGGCGAATATATCATCATCATTTTTATTATTATTATTAATGTTGTTATTATTTGTAGCAGTAGCAGTTTCAGTGTAGTAGCGGTAGCATCAGCAGCAGCAGCAGATGCAACAGCAGCGGACGCAACAGCAGCAGATGCATCAGCAGCAGATGCAACAGCAGCAATAGCAATGCTGTTATTGAACACTATAACACATCTAAGCACTTTAATGACTGTTTATGTACATAAATGCATGAAAACGTGTGCAATACAATTATAAACACCTGTGGTGCCAAATGTACACAGACGCCAGAATTACAATCATTAAGCAATTGTCAAAAGTGGCAAAACAATCATTTGGACACTAGAAATGCATTTTATCTTCGACGTAAACAATCGTAACAAATCAGCGGTTGCACATTAAATATTGCATAAGGCAACACTAGTTTAATTGGAGGCTCTCAATCTTCTGAATCTGCAGTTCATCGCATAAACGACCTTAGGCACACACACACACACACACACACACACACACACACAATCCGCACACACACAAAAACAAAAACAAACAACAGCTCACAGTGTCGTTTCATGCATTAACTCAAAGTTGCAATCCATCAACCAATGGGACATTTAGTGTTTAAATGTTTAATTGTAGCTGACTGATGCAACAACAACCTCAAAGTGTAGACAATTCCTGCAACAAAACTGTTTACATCTAGGAATGAAAGAATCCATACTGAGAACAGTGATGCTAGTCCAACAGAGACTATTGTCTTTTGATTTAAGGTCTCTGTATTCATTTGAGAATTCTGAAAAAGCTTTTTATTTTAAAAGTAGCCAAAAACTACTTGGCCTATCAAACAGTGTTAAATTCAGCTTCATGGGCCTGACACACACAGAGTATTATGTGTGCGTGTGATATATATATATATATATATATATATATATATATATATATATATATATATATATATATATATACACGTGTATTTAAAATGGCGTGCCATACAATACACACTTTTGCTTTTGTAAAAATAATGACTCGTGCATTTTATTTTAGTTTTTTTTTTTTACCGGACCATTTCACCTATTTGGGTTGCAATTTTTACTCTCAGTGAGATACAACAAAAGAAATTATGATACGCATTGACAAAGCAACAACAGTCTTCAAAAGGATTAACAAAATCTGTACACTATGTATCTCAAGGTTATGCACCTTTAAGACCAACCTACGAATCTTCTATAGTCGCTGTGGTGGAGCGGCTAGACGCTCGCTGCGGATCGGAAGGTCGTGGGCTCGCTGCATGGCGGAGCAAGACTTTTTTTCAAACATAAACTTGGTTCCCAGGTCGACCCAGCCTTGAGTGGGTACCGGGTACATCACCCATCTTGTACCGATTGGTCTATAAAATATAGGTCTAGCCCTATATGCCCTATACGCCTAAAGGCGTGAAAAAGTGTCCTTTCCTTTTACTTTAATTACCAATCTTAATTCTAAAGTTATTTCAATTCTAACAATTGCCAGCGAAAGTTGGAGAACAGAAAAAATATCGAACTTAAGTTAGATGCATTTTAAAATAAATGTCTGAGAATAATCCTGAACAGAAAATGGGATGAATTCAAACAGAGTATATCCATCAGTGAGTAGCGGCTAATAGTTTACTATTATTTTTTGGTAGCTTGTGTAATGTTCTTTTTTGTCTGTCCTCAGCTCGTTTTACTTAATGTTCTTGCAATCTAATTAAGATCGTAGATGAACACTGTGCAGCCACATTCAGATAGAGAATATCAGCCCTTTCAAACATGATATAGATAAAACAGCTCAGTATGGAGAAACGTTTCGGTCAGAATGTGCTCTTAATCTATAATTAAATACCTGTGTTATAAAAATAATTTGATTTTTAACTGTAAATATACAAACTGCTTATGAAAACAAAACAACATGCCCTTGGTTTTTTGCTTTATAAATAGTTTTTTACAAATATTTTATGTATAATTAAACTGAAAAAAAGTATGTAATGGATTATTACAAATACAAACGTGCTTAATTTCGAAACGGTTTGACGCCCCTTGAAACATCCTTGTCTCATAAAGCGGTATTGAGTAATGTGCTAAGGATACCTTTCCTCTCAAAATTGCAGGTATCATTTAATATTTAAATTTGTTTTACCATTAATATGATTGATCTATATACAAACAGAAACTAAAGATTATAATAATTACTACATTTAACACTTTTTAATGTAATGGTAATGTTAGTTTTAGATTCATAGCAAACGGGTCACCCCATAGTTGCTCTGCTTCTGTGCCAACGAGAAACACAGAATGTTCATCACAGTCCCTTGTGGAAAGATTGACAGGCTTCTATCTTAGCAGATGCACTAGCATACACACGCATTAAAAGCATACGGTAGCCATCATAAGTGCTAACACAAACAGTCCGACATTAGAAATGCAGTTCATCAAGGGTAGCAACGGTAACCAACAAATCAGCACACCCGATCCATTTTAATCACATAAGGGCACCACCAAAATTGCTGCGACAAGCCACGCGCCATTTTCTGAATCTACAATTCACAACACGACGTTGGTCACAGTCGAAAAACATTAAAAATGAAATCCGCAGCTCACAGGTTCGCACCATGCACTTAGCTCAGTAGCTGGGCGACGAAACTATATCCATTCCGTCTACAGATGAAGCAAAAATGCAACGGCCACCGTCTGGCAGGAGGAAAATCTTTGCCACGACTCAAAACAGTGACCGTGTCTAGCGTCCATTTTGACCGAAAGTTTATAATAGTATGGGGCGCACTTTTGTGTTATTTTAAAGGCCATTGCCCTGACTGTCGTCTGGGGGAAAAAAAAAGGGGGGGGGGGGGGAATAAAATAATCTATCTGTTGAACAGAGTTTCTGGGACTTGGACCCAGTGGATTCTCATCTAAATGATAGCATTTTGTATCATCAGGTGTTCATCCCTTTTTAGGAACGTCACTCGGTTAACTCTGTGCTAATAACACTGACATCATATTGTACAATTAAACATATTTTTTACGGCTTTTATATGTAATTATGATGCAGTTTGTAAATATTCATTGCAATACTGATTTTATACTATCACTGTAGCTAATATCCTAGAAACTTGCCTGGAATTCCACGGGATTACTTTTATCGTCTGTTGTTTCCTTGTAGTCCATTCTTCGTCATCATATCTGTCTTTAGGCTTCTTTCTCATAAACCGCTCAGTTCTGGGACTGGTGTCTTGTCATGACAGAACACTAAATTGTCTGACATCTTCTGAAATAGTCTAAAGTTTACTCATTTCCCAACTTTTTTCCTTTTCTCACAACGTGCTTAATTTTTCTTCTTCTCATGCTATGCTCAAGAAACGTAGATTACTTCTGACTGATACTGGTAACCAATTCTCGACTAATATTCCTTAAAAACATTATCTTCATTGCGCATTATATCTGTTCATCCTTTTGCAGTTTCCACACACAGTCTCCCTAATCTCGTAATTGTCCACGATTTGCTTCCGTACATCAGAAATAGCTAATCTATCTATTAAGAAATCTAGTTTGCAGCGAAGATGAAACAAATATATTATTTGGAATATTCTTTTTTCAAGCAAAGTTTTGCTTTTGCTTGAACTTATGACCTCTTAAACATACATCGTGTTAGTTGACACTTATAATTACTGCCATTTTAAAGAAAACGATTACAGTAATCAACACTGACTTTTCTTTAGGTAATATCGCATGGCAAAGTTCAAGAGCAAAACAAAAATCAACTTCAGCCATCTGCGATACCGAAAGTCATCGTGGAAGACTCGCGGCATGCAGACATGAATGGAGATGGTCATCCTGAGTCAGGTTCAAAGGGCAACCAACGAAGTGCCAGCTTGTCTGTACAGAACAGCTCACAACCAACTGAGGATATTGTATCTGAGGTAACAAGAGATTGAACAAACGGATGAATTATTGCATGGATGAATGAATAAATTATCAAACAAGCCCACAACTTTCAGAAAAATATGAGAGCGAACAGGCACATGAAAAGAAAACTTAATGTTTTAAAATTATATATTTCCAGTTTGGACTGCGGAGTCTCGCTTGTGTTTTTGTTCGGGGTGGGGGGGGGGGGGGGGGGGGGGGGGAGCGGGGTGGGGGGGGGTGGGGGGGGGGGGGGGGGGGGGGGGGGCGGGGGTAACCAACTGCTTCCTAACAAGCATGTCGTTAACTGCGACAAATTAAGGGTTTCTGAAATTAGATATGTTGGGTCGAAAGAAGCTTATATCGCACCCTATTTGTCAGCCGTTCTATACAAATTCACAGGATAGGAACCTAGCAAGTCTAAACAAGTTCATGTACTGAGCTGATACCTAGTTAGATCTGAAGTAGAATGCACCAGTAATTTATAGTTTTGCAATGCAATAATGACAATGCTTGAGTTTAATCAATCCACGTGCAGCATCCGTGGCTAAGGCGTTGCGAGTCTGACTCGTAATCCAACGTACCGCGATCGAAACCCACTGCGGGCTGCGTGGATTTTTATCGTGGTATGGGACGTCGCAGGTCGACCCAGCCTTAAATGGGTACCAGGGTGGGCTGTCCTGGGAAAGCAAAGACGATCGGCGTAAAACTCTGACCACATTACCAACCGAGTGCTGATTGGTCTGTAAAAAATATGGGTGCTCTTCCCATATGCCCAATGCGCTAAGGGCCTAAGGGCGTGTAGAGAGATTTTTACTTTTTTTTACTTTACTTACTCGAAAACGTTTAGAAGTGGCGAAAGAGCAGATACTATTCAAATGAAGAAGAAGAACGAACGAACAAACGAACTTTATTTTCAAAGGGTCGCAAATTGGGCACGCAGGCTCGTCTTACATTCGGCCCTTCCAGTCAACCATCTTTCGCACAGCAGTTGTATTTTACTAATAAAGCATCTTATGATCATGATATGCATATTATGAATATTATAAAAGAACACAAAAGCATGAGTTGTAAATCGCATGCAAAAACCCGCGCGTGCCAATATACATACATTCACCCACATACACACGCTCACCCACTCACTTACACACACATACATGCATGCATACATTACATACATACAGGCATACAAACATGCATAAATGCATACACGCAAGAAGAAGAGGACGAAGAAGAAGAAGAAGAAGAAGAAGAAGAAGAAGAAGAAGAAGAAAGAAGAAAAGAAGAAGAAGAAGTCAAGAAAAGAAGAGGAAGAAGAAGAAGAAGACAGAAGAAGAAGAAGAAGAATAAGAAGAAGAAGAAGAAGAAGAAGAAAAGAAGAGCGAAGAAAGAATAAGAATAAGAAGAAGAAAGAAGAAGAAGAAGAAGAAGAAGAAGAAGAAGAAGAAGAAGAAGAAGAAAAGAGAAGAAGAAGAAGAAGAAGAAGAAGGAAGAAAAAGAAGAAGAAGAAGAAGAAGAAGAAGAAGAAGAAGAAGAAGAAGAAGAAGAAGAAGAAGAAGAAGAAGAAGAAGAAGAAACTACAGACACCGATTTAAAGCAAACAGTCAGCATACTTATATTAACTGAGTAAAAGTTACTTCCTAAAACAGCAAAGTGGAGCCCGGATTTATAAATGTAATAGGAGTATTTCAATTTACAATCTTAAGTATAAATTTACAAATAAGCACAGATATAGGTCATCCATGGAAGCTATGGACTGACTTAAAATCAGCAGCTTATAGCAAACACTAATGCTCTCATCCGATGGAATTATTTTCATCCTTTTAGTAAATTAACTGCTGTATACCTTAAAAAACGCCTTTTTTATAATAAAAGAGAGTGCAAGTATGTATGTTTGTATATATATATATATGTATGTGTGTGTGTATGTTTATGTGTGTGTGTGTATATGATAATGATTACAAAAAAAATTGTACATGTTTACTGTTTATTTTGAATATAAAATCTATACCACACAAGGTTTTAAAAACATATTGTAGTGTAAAATTAATGATTAAAAAAATTATTTAAAGTATCTTCAGTAAACTGTGCATGCACTACATCTTTTTTAGACCAGTAGACACGCAGTGGATTTGTGGTCTATATGAAACTTATCGTAATTCTTTTTCTTTCTTTGTGTTCGCTCTTCAAAGAGCGGTCTGTACGTTATGTTGTCGTATACTGCAAGATTGTCATAGCTGTGCCTTTCAGCCTATCAAGCCTGATCTCAACATCCTTCCAATTAGCCGGCTTCTACGACATTGTTTTAAAGGGGTAGTGTGTCCACTATTTACAGCCGAGATGATGGCTCCACAGCCCACGCAGGAATTACTTTCATTAACTGTTTCCTATAATCAATTCGGCGTGGGCCACGTTATGAGAATGAATCCTGATATACCTGCCAAAACAGCTCTCACATGGATACCAGAGGGAAAGAGAAAACAGGGGCGCCCAAAAACAACATGGAGACAAACGATGGAAAGTGACCTGAGTGCGGCATCTTTGACAAGGAAAACTGCACTGAAGATTGTACAGGACAGGAGAGCATGGAAAGTCCTCTCTAAAGCCTTATGTGCCACTAGGCATAACGAGAAATGATGATGATGATGATAATTAGTTTGAGGAGTGGTCAAACCGGAAGGAAAAAGTCAGTTTTACAAACCTCGCTTGGAGACGAGAAACGCACGACCATCAAGCCAATAGGTATTCGTACTAGTCAATGGGCAACCACAGCACCCAGTCATCTTCCCTATATATATATTCTTGTGCGCTATGCTCACAAATATGGTCTTAAACACAATTTATCAATGCATTGTAAGAATTACATAAACCCACGCAATTCACGCCCCCATGTTTACTGGACACGGTAAACAACATTTGAGTCTGCTTTTTTAATACTCGAGTAGGATTTTTTTTTTACAAACTAATTATATATATATATTTACTAGCCGTACCCGGCCACGCGTTGCTGTGGCATAGTTTGGCTAAATGGAAATGAAAGAAAATAGAAAACGCACGTGTCTAATACAATCATTGTCTGCTCAGATATAGAGATAGTCTTTGATCCCCGCCCACCACCACAAATAAATCCACCTACTACTATCTCCCTCATCAAAGGTTTTTGGAAAAGAAAGACAATGAAAATAGCACGTGTCTAATACAGTTAATGTCGCAATCATTCTCTGCACAGATATAGAGATAGTCTGGTTTTCCAACTTTAGAACACGCACCTTATAATTGTGTCTTTATATTAGTGGTCGTTTAAATGGTGTTATTAGCACAGTAACAAAAATGGTTACTTGGTTATCACATGCTAAAGCTGTTTGTATTTTTATAGGGGACGGAAGTAAAGCTACAACTGTACTTGTGAATAACAAAGTAAGTCGTAAAAAATAGAAAAGCGGAAGGTAGCGTTAGTAAAATATAATAAACAAATTAGGTAATAAGAGAACTTGAAAATCAAGTGTAAAGCTCTTTTTAATTTTCTCTTAAATTTAAGTCATTACCCCCTCCCCTCTTCCACCGACTACTGCTCTCTCTCCCTCTTCGAAGGGTTGAAAATCACTAACTGGGCGATATTTTGTTGTTGCTTGTAACTGACATTGAATCCCTGTCCATCTGGACTAAAATAGGGAGCAGGAATTGTGTATAAAAGGTAGTGAATAGGGCTAGTTGTAATATTTACCACATCATCCTTCAAGTACCAGTACAACTACTAAAATAATGTCACTGCTATCTGTGTTACCATCGGAGTAGACAGAGAGTCGTGAGCCAGAAGATTTGGTTCCGCATGGCTAGTGCTGTCGCCACAGACTGGTCAGGTTAGGATGTATAATTTCACTTGCCGACAGAAGAACGCCATAACCTTACCGGCGTAACCATGCAATCGGAAAGTTTAACAATGCAATCATAGGTATGCGAAAGGGTCAAATTTAATTATCAAATGGTTTACCCATTTACTGGTGTGTTTTTTTTTTAATATTAAGGCAACATGGCTAGTGCTGTCACCACGACAGAGCAGATGAGGATATAATTTTAGTCCGGGGTAAAAAAAAATTTTAACGACTGCGGATTCGAACCCAGGTCTACCGCACATGAACCCAGTGTTCTAACCATTCGACCAAGCAGCCACTTAATCGGAACAACGAAAAGAGAACTCAACTATTAGACATGTGTGTCCTTACTACTGTTTAGCGATTAAAACACAATTCAAAACCGTAGGCAATTGTTTTCTCGTAGACAGATACTCTAGATATAATAATGAAATAGAAATCGCACGTGTCTAACACGGTTAATGAAGTTAATGTCGCAGTCACTGTCTGCGCCGACGTCGAGATAGTCCTTGATTGCCCCCGCCCCCCCCCCCCATCGAAGGTTGTTTGAAAAAAAAACAGAAAATAGAAATCGTGTTTAATATGGTTATTGTATTAGTATTAGAGAAGGCGTTGGCTGCACGTAACTCGCCGGCGAATGGTAAATACGGCGCATGCGCAATTACTAACGTGGCTATAATTAGAAATCACTAAAGTTATAAATATTAGTTGCGAATATTTTGGCATAAATTGTGGTCACCTATCTCTAACAGTGACAGGTTGAATTTCAAACCACGATGGTTCAAAATCCGGTATCAAAACAAACATATCCTGAAAATTTCAGCTAAATCCGTTCAGTAGTTTCCGAGTCTATAGGGACCAAACAAACACACAAACATTGATTTTTATATATATAGAAGAAGATATATATATATATATATATATATATATATATATATATATACACACACACACACACACAAATATAGAAAGAGAGCGGTCAATTAGACTCGGTAATTATCTTAACAAACGCAGATCGCACGTGCAAAGTTTATCAATAAATATCATTATTGTCATCAGCTGCCAGATCCTGTAAATCCACGAACTTGCGATTTGTTATCTTTTCCATCGTCAGCCCGCATTTTGAGTTAGTTGTCATTACATCCCCTTACAAAACAAGAAACAGTGTTATGGAAAATAGTATATTTTATTTAAGGTATTAAAAAGTAAACAGTTCCGGCAATAAAGGGGTGAGAAACAGAAGCTGGCACTGGATATAACACATACTGGGGGAGAGGGGTGGGGTAGAGCATCATGATGCCATGAAAGCTATAAAACCCTTGCAATATAACTGAGTGAGTCTCCACTGGACAGATTAGGAAGACCAAGAGAGACTCTACGTAGAACCATTTTCAGGGAAGGTCTAATAAACATCCAAGATCTAAAGCAGGTGGCAACGAACCGCTAGACATGGAGAGCTATGACCTCTGCCCCATGCGCCCCCATATGCCTGAGAAGAAAGACTAACGAAGTACAACTAAGTGACACATGAATAAAGACAAACCGAAAAACACACGGAGAAGACTACTAGAGAATGAAGAAGTAAAATGAAGCCCAAAAGTGAAATAATAAAATGATACTACAATAATTATGATAGCACTGCATTATTTAAGTATGTTTAGGAAAACATATATATTATATATATATATATATATATATATATATATATATATATATATATATATATATATATAGTTATATTCAGTACGAGGTCCTTACCTAAAACATTCTGTTTCTATTGAAGATTGAAACGTGACGACTGTCTTGACAATCAAAGATTCTAGACACTTTCCCAACACAGCTTCATTAATTAATTACTCACATCTGTTGAACCTGTCAACTCTGTCAATCTCGTCTTGTCTAAAACAGGCTCACGGATCTTTAGAAGAGAAAGAAGAGCCTTTGGATATCAGCTGGCCAGATACCAACAGAAAGCGATTGACGTACCTTTTCTTAGCACCCATTGTGTTACCTCTCTATGTGACACTACCAGATGTCCGGAGACCGGTAAGTGTACGCTGAGTCATTCTTGTCTGGGTCATATACGAACATGTTAGAAAGGCAATCACACTCCTTGAATTAATTCCCCGTATGTCCCATTAGGAATATCCGTGTTTTTTTTTTTTTACCTGGAATGACCACGTATGACACACTGTATGTTTATTCAACGGATCAACATGGATGTAACCCATAAGTGATGCCTTCTTCTTCTAACTCAAGCCTGAAGAATCTCAGCGCAGTGCACGAACTTTGTTGACATCGGCGAGGATCCTGAAAAACTTTGGATAGATTTCTAAGTCCAAATTTTGCCGTTAGGCTACTCTCTTTGATTTCAAACTGTGTATTTTTTTACGCGCGCAAAATTACACACGGGCGTCCGATCTTACTACCCAGAGACCAAGGGAAATTACTAGAAGTCCACGTGAAAAAATCCTAGTCTTCACCTGGGTTTGAACCCGGGACCTCCGGCACTCGAGGCGGATGCCATACCCCGAGACCACACAGCTTCCCTGTAACTGTTGGGTAAAGAGCTTCAAGAGTGGAATGTAATTCAATATTTCTCCCACAAGGAAGCCAATTTAGCATGCGTATAGTAATGAGCATGCTGATAGAATAGGTACTGCCGTTCCTCTGGGTGGTGAGCTAGAGCGCGAGCAGGGGTCTAGGCCAGCAGTTCTCAACCTGCAGGTCACGACCTTTTTTGGGGGTCGAACGACACTTTCACATGGGTCGCCTGAGGCCATCGGACAACACATATTCATTAAAGTTGTGCAATGAAGATAACTGTTTGTGGGTCGCCACAACATGAGAGGAATGAATTATAGGGTCGCGGCATTAGGAAGGTTGAGAGTCGATAGTAATGGGGCAACTATCTCCCCTGTTGAAACACAAGCAGATACCTCGGAGTACTAAAATCAATCTTATCAGAACTATTTTTTTTGGCCAACACTATGCTATCAATGCCAAACGTGGACACTTACATCCTTCAATGAACGTAAAATTGTGACAACAGAGATGAAATGCCTTAGAAGATCTGCAGGAGTTTCAAGGAAAGACAGAATACGAAATAATGAAATCAGATGAATGCTAGGAATAAAGCGAATCTTACATGTCATTAAAGAACAACAAATGAAGTGGTTTGGACACCTAACAAGAATGCCCTGGTACTATCTGCCACAGCTAGCCACACTAAAACGTTACAACGGGTGTAGAGTGAGTGGAAGACCTCGGAAAATATGGAATGATGGCATTAAGAACAGCCTTACAGAAATTAACATCAGTCTTAATAGTGCTCTTGACAGAGCTCATCAACGTACATTACATCTCCCCCCGACACTTCGATGAGGTACAAGGTGGAAGAGAAGAAGAAGAAGAGAGTCGATGGTCTATACGATGTTTTTCCCGCACGGATAAAAACAGACGAACTTTAAATCACACTGCAACTGGTACCATCAGTCTGAGAACGTATTGCAGGCAACTGACGAAGGAGACTGAGCATGTATGTGAATGTGCGTCGTGTCATCATCATCATCATCAGGTGCCTTGCTGACTGGCGTGGGCGATCATGCCTCTTCACAATCTGCGATCTCCTACAGCATGTATTAGTTCGTGTGCTGACACACCTCTATGCCATGCAACACAACTGTCAAGCATCTTCTCTCGTTGTCTTCCTCTATAACTCCTTTCACAGATCTTTCCAGTGGTCAGAACATGTTCTTTTTTCCCCTCTACTCATAACATGGCCAAAAAATGATGACTTTCTCCTTCTGATGTCTGTGATAAGTTGTCTTCGGGCTCCCAGCTCTTTCAAAACCTATTGGTTGCTCTTTTTGGCTGTCCAAGGCATTCAGTCGTGTAATGATGCCAAATCTTGATTCATTCATTCCTTCGTTCCTTTCCTAACTCATTTACAGGAAACCTCTCCAAAGACTAAAATGTAATAACACGTGTGTCTCGAGTCTAAACATCTTCATAACTGGAATTCGCTCATAATTCTATATATTTTCCACGTTACAAAGCCAGTCGTAATTCTTGCATTTAATTGAATGTGTGTCACTTAGAAAGCCAGTCTCAGAACTGGAATGTAAATTGAATGTATGTCACGTTAGTAAGCCTGTCTCAAGACAGGAATGCAATTGAATGTATATCACGTTAGTAAGCCTGTTCCAATACTGTAATGTAATTGAATGTTTGTCACGTTAGTAAGCCTGTCTTAAGACTGTAATGTAATGGAATGTATGTCACGTTAGTAAGCCTGTCTCAAGACTGGAATGCAATTGAATGTTTGTCACGTTAGTAAAGCCTGTCCAAAGACTGTAATGTAATTGAATGTATATCACGTTGGTAAGCCTGTCCAAAGAATGTAATCTAATGTATGTCACGTTAGTGATCCTCACATTTGACAATCGGTACTCGATGGGTGATATGGCTATTTGATTTCCTTTATTTCCCAGGAAACATCTAGAAACAAGTTTAGGTCGGGTCGCTTGCAGCTGTCACATGTTGAGTGAATCTATAAATATATTGTTTTTATACCACACAGGATCGTCGGATCTTCTTTCCATGGACGTTTATAGGCAGTGTTCTGTGGATTGCTGGCTACTCCTATTGTATGGTTTGGTGGGCCAGCCAGGCCGGGGAGACTATTGGGATTCCTGACGCGGTGATGTTCTTCTCTCTCTCTCTCTCTCTCTCTCTCTCTCTCTCTCTCTCTCTTTGTCTATCTCTCTCTCTCTCTTTCTATCTCTCTCTCTTTCTATCTCTCTCTCTTTCTATCTCTCTCTCTCTATCTCTCTCTCTCTCTCTCTCTCTCTCCCTCCCTCTCTCTCTTTCTCACAGCCTCACTAAGAAACACAGCAATGTTAACAGTTGTAAATTTGAACGAACAGGACACAATAGATTCCATTTGCCCTAGTAACTGTTGACCTTAGTTGAATGTGTATTTCAGTTAGAAGTGTTCATTAAATATGATCAATTATTTTATTATTCAGTTATTACTCTGCACTCGTGCAGAGTGGCATTCTTCGCTTCTGAGGTCATAGGGTGAGGAGCATTGATTGGATCTTGTCTCCGGGTGATGCCAGTGTGGTAGGAAATAAATAGGAGGACAGACTGGTGGTTCTGCACAACTTGGGGGAATATTTATGTATGATATGGCAGAAGTGGTTAGAGCCCTATGAGAGAACGTGTACCATAGTGAGGAGCATGTGGACCACCCCAGTCTGGTGAGACTGATGCAGCGGGGCGTGTGGAGGGGATCTGGCCGATTCTCGACGCTCAGGGGAGAAGCAGGACGGACATATAATCAGAGTGCTATCGACGCTACTGGTATTGCAACTCTACGCTGGCTGCTGAAATTGGAGACGGAGCGCTTATGGGAATGCCCCGAGTGCTATGATGTCGGTTAATGACTCAACACTTGATCAACACTCAGTCATTACTGTTGCATATATCTGACGAGATACTACGAAATATACTAGGCAGTACAATGTATAATCTATTTTTTGTGTCTTCTTTGTTCAGACTACTGACAGTTAGAGGTACAATACCATGTTGTCGTAATTTAAATTTTAACAGTCATATTTCCACCTCCTTGTGACGATATACAATTAGCATAATAATGCACGGCAATGATGGGGGAGAGGGGTGGGGGGGGCACGTTGAGGTGGAAGGGGGGGGGGGAGGACTACGTAGTTTGTTTTCTAGGTTTTGAGGTTTTGAGGCACATTCAGTAAACTGTGCAACTTTACTATAGGGTGTATGTTAAAAGACTGTATACTTTTTGAAAATTAGTATTTGAGTACCGAAATCAAACGTGTATAATACGTCATGTTTCAAGCGCCATGTAACCGTTAGTTTAGCATATCACTGCTATATACCGGTGCTTTAGTAATTGATATTAGCTATGATGATGTTAACTATTGATTAGAATGTATTTTTGGTTGGGCATGTGTTCCTTAAAGGTGGCAGGTATTTGAATAACTGCGTTTGTTCAACAATTTGTGATGTCATTGCCCGATACTCAAGTTACTTATCCTCATACTAATAATTTAATTAGTAGAATGGATTGTGAATAGAGCTGTACTGTGGAAAACAGTATCCACATAGTAATACAAATAACAGTAATAAGGCTATCCTCCGACTAACGGTCGGCAAAGATGGCGGCCGCAAAATATTCCCCAATTCACGCCGCGTGAGCGGCGTGGGGGCCACATGGTGGTAGCTGTTGTTGCCGGAAAACCGCCGGAAGACCGCAAATTAAGTAGCCGGAAGCGCGCAACTGACACGTGACTGCGGCTTGGCTGGATATTTTGCGGCCGCCATATTTGCCGACCGTTAGTCGGAGGATAGCCAGTAATAATAATAAAAAGACCCACTATAACAGTACATTTTGAAAAACCTTGTAGACGGTGATTACAAAACCAAGAACGATAATATAAAAAATACAGTCATTAAAAATACACCCTATATTTAAAATTGAGTGGTATTTTTCAATATCACGTAAGCAACATGTGCTTACTCTTTACTGGTACACATATTGATTTAGGTTGTATGACCTGAAGCAGCAATTTATATACAATAAAAATCTCTCCCTTTATAGCAGGCTCGTGAACATGGTCAAACAGGACAAGACTCGCACATATAAGTAATAGCCACTGAACTGTCGCCATTTCTTCTCCAAGTGGGTTGATTCATAATAGATTTCTGCAGTGCGATAATATATATTGCTATAAAGAAACTCCTTAGATATCTACGAATAATTGTAGTTTTTAAAACATAAAAAAAAAAAAAAAAAATTATGTTGTGGATTGTGGATTATGAATCCGTGCGGAGGGGTATAGGAAACCATCTCACTAATTTCCCCCCCCCCCCCCCCCCCCAAAAAAAAAAAAAAAAAAACGACTGGCAGTCACAGAAATAGATCTCTGGCAGACAGATATTTGTAAAGCATCCTTATACCAGACTTCGGTGACTGAATAACATATGAGGAAATTAGGATACGAACACACCTTGTACAATATTTCGGTGTCCAAGAAAGAACAAACTATAATTAAATTCTTCCAACACAATGAAATCCAGAATAAAGGATATCTTCTAACAAGTTAACATATTTCATAGTGACTATGTACTGTCGTCCCCTTGTGGGATTCAATGTTTCGTTTTCTGAAGCCCCACCCTGGCTTTTACCGGAGCCCTGAATATAGCTAGGCCACATTTGTGGCCATGACGGCTGAAATAGGTTACTGGGACCTCTCCACGGGTGATCCTCATCCGCAGGGACATATCATCATGGATTAACTTAGACTGGATTTTATTTCAAAAATCATGCGAAGAAAAACCTAAAACAACAGGAATAGCTTAAACATTTATTTGTTTGGAAACCTCTGTGCAGAATTGTAATCTAAATAAACAAACATGTCCAGACACCAGCCGAACTTGATGTTTATTGATTAGAAGCCCGCTGAAAAAAAAAAAAAAATTAACTGTTGATATTTTTAGAAGATTTCAGGTTTAATTAGCAACTTTAAAAAAAAAAAAATCCAGAATATGAAGGAACGGTAGTTTTATGGAATATGTTTAAAGTGGGTAAAAAAACTAAAAGCAGTTTTTTTTTTTTTGCCCACACGTTGTCATTAGACAAAATTAGGTGTGAATTAAGAGAGCCGAAATGTTTAAAAAAAATTGTAATGGAAAAATTAAAAATTTTACAAACTCCCCACGCATTCAGGCGTATTGGGCATATAAGGCTAGACCTATATTTTACAGACAGGTCGGCACTCACTGAGTGATGCGGTTCAACACCACACTGGCCACTTTTACTTCCCTGGATTTTGCCTGGTACCCATTTAAGGTAATGTCAACCTCGGAGCCAAGATCATTTGTGAAAAATGTCGGGCTTCTTCAAGACCCGAACCCAAGATCTTCCGATCCTACGACAAGCGTCTAGCCGTTACACCACTGCGGCTCTTGATCAGTTATGACACACCTTTGAACTGAATAACCTAATATGTACGAAACCATGTTTTAGGTGATGGGTTTAACAGTCCTGGCCGCTGGTACAAGTATACCTGACCTGATTACAAGCGTCATTGTTGCCAAGAAAGGATTTGGTGACATGGCGGTGTCCAGTTCAGTAGGAAGCAACTTGTTTGATATCACTGTTGGGTGAGTGCTTTCAGTTCCAAGCAATTGTTACCTTAACTCACACACAACCCAAGGTGTTGGGCTTGAATGTAGTATATATTTAAGTTTGAAGGCGTTAAAAGTTGACACTACGGGTCATGTGTAGTTAAGCTAATAGTTGAGATACACAGTGGTTAATAAAATATGTCTGTGATAAATGACAAATAGAATATTAAGTTACTGACAAGAGACGCTTGGTGGGTTGTTTAGTACTGAAAGAGTTAACTTTAAATACTGACGTTTCTAATGTTACATTTGTCCGAATTTCTCAGTTTCTCACATTTTATAAATATCTTAAAGTTTCTTAGTATCTCAGAATATCCCAACGTGTTCTAATGGTTGCATGGCAAGTTTAGAATTCAATTCTTTAGATCATGAGTGCAGGTGTTTCGTTGATCGTTGCTGGAGCTAAGCAGCTGTTATTTTTTTTTTTGTGATGCTGGGAGAACCCCATGGCCGTCATGGTAGGAAAGAGACTAAGTCTGCTGTTACTGGAGACTGAACACAGACCACTCTATGAGCATGCAAGGGTGCTAAACAACTATGCCACTTGTGTGCAATGGACGATTATTGTTCGCTCTCTTTTAAAAATATGAATCTCTGACTGCGTGTATATTCCAGGGTTATCGCTATCAGTTTTCACTTTTGTTGTCAATCTGCGTGCGGAGTAACAATTTGCGATCTATTAATTCTATTTTCCATCTATTGTCTTCTTCACTTTTACCGGGTTGCAGCCCAGTGTCGTGGTTTAAAATATTTGTTTTGTGCCTCCCGCGTGATTTGAGTGACAGTTTTCTGGATCTTCTGGCCGTATTCAGCTACTCCATCTATCCATTTTTTCCTGGGTTTTCCTGTGGCCTTTCTTCCCGATGTTCTATTGTAAAAGGCCTTATAGGCAATCTGATCAGGTTGCATTCTTACTTAATGACCAAACCACTTCATTCTCTGTTTTTCAATATGTTCCATGCATGCTCTTGTTCCAACTTTGTCTCTAATGCTGACGTTTGTGACTCTGTCTCTTCGTGTATTGTTGGTGACTCTTCGGAGACATCGCATTTCACACGTAGTTATTTTTTGCATATGTGATTTGTTCATTGTCCACGTTTGGCACTGATAACATAACGTAGGGATGAAAATTCTGTTGATCATCCGTTGTTTGGCTGGTAACGAGATCTTTGGATGACGAAGAAGTGGGGCCAGTTGGTAGTTGACTGCATTGGCTTTTTGAACTCTAGCCTGTATCTCTTTATCGAGTCTTCCATCTTCTGTAAATATGCATCCTAAGTACTTGAATGATCTATTAATCGATGAGTAATAATGGTAATTGTCATTCCACGTCGATCTAGAATGTATTAAATGCCATCAAGGTACTTTCTCCTAGGGTGACCTCTTGCATTCACACCAGATCTTTTCTGTGCAGCGCCTGTGTTTTTGGTAGCTGTAGCTGCACTCTGACGAGATGACCATATCATTTGATCTTCTGTTTCGCAGTTAATTTGGTGCCTGGTGTTGGTCCCAAAGTCTAACTGATAGTATCATTTCTTGTTTGTCTCGGATGGGTAAGTAAACGGCTTTCCTCAGGAATCTCGTTTCACAAGTCTTAATTTCACATTGGCCTTTGAAAATGTCCAAGTATGGCACCGGTAGCAAAGCGTTGGTGTGAATATGATATTTATAATCTGTATTTTAGCGGTCATAAATTATGTTTGGATGTCTTAACAACGGTGTCAGTTGGTATTTGTGTGTACTGGCTCTTTGGCATCTTGTTTATATAACCTGATCTATTCTCCCGTCCTCCTAGAATATACTTCCTAGATATGTAAATCCTTTAATTTGAATCCGACATGCAGGATTCAACAATATATATATTAGTTAGTTTTGTTCGTAGCTACTTTCGTGTTACATTGTATGCATGTTGGACTAAGCCATATTGAGATTAGTCTTGCAGTCTTCTTTCCTGTCGGACAGACACCGACTGTCTGTAAATAGTAGTCGTTTATTGTGGGTGGATCTAATTCCTACACTGTAAGGTAAAGTTTCATATTTTCTCTGTTGAATGCTTTAAAAGTGGCTTCTTTAGATACTGTATGTGTGTGTATGTGTGTGTGTGTGTTTATATATATATTTATATGTATGTATATATAAACATATATATATATGCATATACATACCTATATGTAAGAGGGAAGAGTAAATATATCCCTGCCTCCCTGTCATACTGATTGTAAACGTATTAGATTTGCCTTCTTGTGTTCTCGCTGCGCTCTGGGAAGTGTGGTTAATCCGTCCTCACCGTGCCAAGAGGCACAAAAGGCAGAGACAAACTATCGCCGAACAATTTGATTCTGAGCTATCCCCTCTATCTTGTTTGGTCTTTCGCGTAGCCTTGAGTTCAGCCGCAAAAGTTCGCCTCTAAGTGCCTCTGCGCCTGCCTTTCCTGCCGTTCTTGTGGTGTCTATTGCATTGCCTGTCTCGACCGTCTTAATTTCTTCATTCTGAGGACGTGTCCAATCCATCTCAATCTGTGTTTTTTTTTTTTTTTTAAATTACTAAATTTACATTTTCCAAGTCTGTCATTTGTTGTAAGGGAAGTGTGGTACATGAGCATACTGTTATCTAGCAAGTATCCTATATCTCATAAACCTTTTAAAAAAAAAGCCCTTAATTTGGAAACACACAGACACACACACACACACACACACACACATATCTTGCGGCTGTGGAAAGGGCGGGGTGGGTGGGTGGGGGGGGGGGGGGTTGTGTGGGCAAGGGGCTTAGACCTTAAGAGACCTACCCCCTTTTTTATATTTAACAAAGTAATTTTAAAATATGGCACAGCTGATATGTTCTTGTCCTGGTCATCCTGTTTTACCGAATTATTCGTGTTTCCGAGAAGGTGTCTAATCCACCTTCATCTTTGTTTTTTTGATTTATATATTTACATCTTCTAAGTCATTTTTTTTGTAAGGAAGGTGTGGAATGGCCATAATGTTTTCTAGCGATTGTCCGTGTATCCATACACCTAAAAAAAGGCCTTAATTTGGACGGACACACACACTTAAACACACACACACACACACACACACACACACATCTTGCGGCTGTGTAAAAAAGGAAGGGGGGCGGGTGGTTACATGGGCAAGGATCTTAGACCCTTAAGAGACCCTCACCCCCTTTTTTTAAAATTGAATAATTTTGAAATATGTTGTGGTGCAGCTTGTTCTTGTCCTGATCAAATGTATCATTCGTTTGGTCATCGAGATTTTATTTTTTTTTGTGTGTGTGTCTGGTTATATGATGTTCTTTGATGGGCATCACAGTACG